AAACAATAAAGCACACAAGGTCACCGCGTGATACGACAGTCAAATGGACCTGTTTCGAATGCAGTGTATGATACCTGGACCGGCTCATGAGAAAGCGACTGAACTGAATTTTACAGATGCCAGAAAAACAAAGAGGTATGGCGTCACTTCACTCCAGTGGCGTAGCCGTGGGTAGCACAGCAAGTCCGTGACCCAGCCGTCCAAACGCCTAAACTTTTCTTTCCATGGCATACAGAGCATGAAATGACACTCGACCACATCTGCCTGCCCGGCCCCCCACTTCTGATCAAAAAAATACCCGAAAAAAGAAAAGTCTGCCTACGCCCCTGGTTCACTCACCAATCTTTTTTACACTCGGACTGTTTTCCTTAACATTTGACTGCAGCTGTTTCTTTTTTCCAAAATAAAAGCATCGTTCATTTACTAATTCACTCCTGCACTGAGAAAAAGATAACAGTGATAGATCAAGGATCAAAGAAAGTAGCTAGCATTCCATTTCATATCACTCCATACAAGCGGCAGTGACAGATTAAGAAATTTTCGGGCCCGGGGTTAACTGTGTGGTTGGCTCTGTTTCGGAAGCGTTTTGCGAATGTGTGCGCCTTGCTTCGCATGAATATGAGATACTTACATTTCTTGCCAGTATCGTGATCAAAGTTAGAGACGGGCTTGTTGGTGCACCGTGATGATATTCGCGGCTCAAAATCAAGACATGACAATATTCCACGTCTGTTATCCCCTCGAGTCATTTCCTTCGTCTTCCTCGCTATGGTAAAATGTCAATGCGTCCGTACTGAGGTACCGGACTGGACAAGCGCCTATGACAAGCCAGCCACGGATTGATTGATATGTGTTAGTGCATATACTGACAGTAGAAAAGGGGGGGGGGGGGGGTGCGTGTGAACAGTTTATGACAATGTGAAATGCTGCAAGCAAACTGTGCATTGGCATGATAGTTAAACTGGTTTCAGTGTGCTATTGTGTTTTTTTTCTCGGACTGTTCATTTTCAGGTACCGTTAACTATAATTCTTTTTTTTTCCACTACAGAACTTATTGATATGGAGTAGCCGAGGCAATATGGACCTCTACCTTGCCACAACAAAACAGAACAGAACAGAACAGAAAGACGCTAGAACATATATGAAACAGCCCACAGAAAAGATTTTACAGCCCAGATAAAACTCGTCTATAGAACGGCTAGTCAGTCGCTTCAGATGCTGTCCTTTTGCAAAAGCATGCAGATGCTGACGTCGTAATTATACCAAACAGCCTCACTGCATGTTACACGTCCTCGTACACTTAATCCAAGCATGAACGGCAGCTTTCTAACGCAAGGAAGCAGCTGAGCACGGCGTCAGCGCCCGCATGCGCTCAACCACTCGAAAGAAATGCAATTCAGTTTGCACTCGAAGTATACTATAGGTTCTTTTTTAACTTGACTATTATTCATCTTCATGAGCCCCTATATGTTTGAGAACATTGGTATACGATTCGATGTCCCCCTAAAGCCAATATCGACGAAACGGTGCTGTCATGGCTGGCCTGTCAAATCCGTGTTGACCATTTCAGAAGCTGAGCGTACATCCCCGAGTTCTAAACGGCACATTCCTTTCATCTCTGCGGTGCTATAATTTAGCACTTCAGGCAATCTGCACTACACGTGCGCTTATGACGCTCGTCCGAGATGTCTTCTGCCGTAAACGGTTCCTTGCTTCGGAACATAAACACCGAGAGGTTATCTCGCAGCCTACATTACCGACGCTGTTCCACCTCGGTGCCATTTATCGTGAATTACGGCGGAAAAGAGGGCATAAATCGCTTTTATCTTACAAAGGCCCACTTCAGATAGTCGGCACGATCTCTATACAGCTTGTGCCGAGTATCTGAAGTGGACCTCCGTAAGAGACGCCGCCAAGACCACTGGCATTGAAAAAAAAAAGAGCGATATAACAGCTTACAGAATCGAGACACTGTGCATACATCCCATTGCTACTACGACAAGAGCACTTTCCATGAGCGGTGTAACATAAATGTAGCTTCAAGACTGAAGATTTCGTGGTTTCACGTGCGATATCACGACACCAAGAAGCACGCCACATAGTGAGGAACTCCGAATTATCTCGGGTGCATGAACGCTCATCCATACTTCGGTACACAGTCTTTTGCGTTAATTTTGCCCTCTTCAAAGTGTGGCCGCCGTGGCAGGGAGCTGAACTCGCGCACTTTGGTTTAGGAGTGCGAAGCTATAGCCACTAATACTCCAAGGCAGATAGAATAGCTTCACGATGAACGTCAAGGAACAACACCGGGACGCTCGAAACCAGCTTTTGGTAGCTTTTGGACGCAAACCGGCCTTTGGCACGCAAACCGGCCTTTGGCACGCAAAACCGGCCTTTGGCACGCAAAACCGGCCTTTGGCACGCAAAACCGGCCTTTGGCACGCAAAACCGGCCTTTGGCACGTAAAACCAGCCTTTGGCACGTAAAACTCCAGCAAGTTGCTGGAGTTTTACGTGCCAAAACTAAGATGTGATGGCGATCGCCTGCCGTAAACTAGCGAGTAAGAACAGATGGAAGACAACGTAAACTGATCGACATGAACAGTGCTTGAATGAACGATTTCGGTTGCAGCGTCGTACATTGCAAACGGCAGCAGAAGCAGCGCAGCTGCAACACTTCAGCCGAACACGAAAACGTCGAATCGCTGAGATGAAGGCGACTGATACAGCGAGCACACGCGCTTTTATTAGACTACCACCTGTTCAATTTACATTTCATGACGTCATCTTCAGAGTACACAAACCCACACATGCAGTGCGCTTACTTCTGTTAAAATAAACACTCATTGTGTTAAAATAAACAGTTAAACACTCATTTGGCAACGTATATGTATACACAAGCATGCACATTGCGATGAATGTTCAGCTATACCACGTGAAGTACGCTACGGCCGTCAAAGTGCATGTTTCATTCGATACTCGAGATGAACAATTAGCATTGGCAAACTGGAAGTGCCAAAGCCTTTTACGCAATATCATAATAGAAGCCGATGAAGCATCTTATACTACGCATGTAAACTGCCGAAGGATAAACGTGCACCACCATCGCAGAGTACAGGAGCCTCTAGCATGCATTTGACCTGCACCGAAATGCCGTGGTCTTGGCAGAATAGTAGAAGTGTAATTGAGTCAGGGCCTACACATGCATTTAGGTGCGACTATCGCAAATAGACGTATTCAGATGCCCTTACATATCGGCGAAATGGCTGCAAGCGAAGCTTTGCGTATGCATGCCTGACGTATTACTTTTTCTATCGCATTGCACAATACTCCCTCTGAACTGTTTCCTTTCTCCATGCCAGAAATCGTCTTCATTCAACCGGTTAGCCACGCGCTACACTTCTGTTGCTACAGGCAACAACGACGGTCATGCGTTCATATCAAGGCAACGATGAAATGTGGCAGTGTGAAGTGACAAGTCACCTTAACAAAAAAAAAATCAGATTGAAATATCAGAGACAGGCTGACCTCCCTCCAACAAGCTCATGCGCTCTCGAAAGAGCATCAATTTTTTTGGAGCATGCATGATACGCGTGTGTACCGGCGCAAACGAGGAGTGGCATATCTGTACGCCCACCGGCGACGGGTTTTTCGAGTGCGACGCCGCAACTAAAATTCAGTTATAGAAGCTTCGCTTAATACATAAATGTCACGCCAGCCTGGTCCATTCTGGTCCGGCGTACGCTGCGATAATATTGAATTGCTCATAGGTACATGTACGAGTCGTGGTGCGGCGTCGTTTATCCCAAAAAAAAGTAGTACACTTCCAACGCCGAGTTCTCCAGGGTTCTGCGTCGATTAAATTCAAGCATAATCCCAAGCGCCGCGCACAATGTGACATTCAGTGGACCTGCAGACTGTCATCGAACTTGAGCAGCATGGCATCGGCGTGCCCCCACAGAACTCGTGGTTAGAAAAGGCGGCCGTCTCGGATGAGCCGCCGATAGCTCCGAGATCCTCCGAAGTGGAAAAAGAACCGCAGCGAAACCTTGCACCTGATCTTCATTGCAGCGGCACGGCTTTTCCGATAGTGCTACGGTGATCAAGTAGTTGTTGCGGCATACGGCGTATATCGACAACCTAATGCCAAGTGCTTCCGCAAACTCAAGCCCCGACACCTTGTAATCTTTCGCTCCGTAGAATCTCACGTGCAAGCGAAAAAAAGCCGCGCTAAGTGGGTATATGGCCACAGTCAGCAAGAGCCAACTCGGCACACGACTTCAAGAAACCACCACAGGCCAGTCCAGAACTGAGCCCCAGAAAGTAACAATCACTGCAAGTGAACCCAGCTGTAGAAAACTGCACGCGAATTCACTCAATCAACCAGTGAGTGATACTTAAGTTTAAAAAAATAAACATTAATGAACTTTGAGGTTTTACGCGCCGAAATTCCGGCACGGTTCGGCAGGACGCCGTACAGTCAGAAACGCCAGTTTTGACCACTTCTGATTTTTAAACGCACGCCAAAGTTGAAGCGCGCGAGTGTATTCCCACTTCGCGCCCATCACAATACACCTCGGTCCGTGAATGGGACCCGCGCCCTCGCAATCAGCTACGTTGGACAGAAACTTTCCAATGGGAAAGACAAACTTCTCCAATTAGTTTTAGCGTCCCAACGAAACACCGGGGCCGCTGGAGACGCAGCGACCCATAGCTAATTTAGCTGCCAGCAGCGCTTTCGCACTTCGTCCTGTCTCAGCCTGGGGCAGCCGCAGCTGGTATTCGAACCTTCGAACCCACTTAGCTCTGCAGAAGGACGCGAACACCAAACCACCTCGGTGGGCGGGTTCACGGGTAGCCCAGGTGGGTCCAAGCAACAAACCTCAGGTGGTCAAAATTTCCGGAGCCCTCCACTACGGCGTCTCTCATAATCATATAGTGGTTTTGGGACGTTAAACCCCACAAATCAATCAATCAATCGAGGTCCAAGCAACAACTCACCTTCATCCTTGGGCACGCAAACCACGAACCACATGCCCGCCATGGTCCCGGAGTGTCGCCGACGTCACCGCAGCAGGAGCAGCCGCGCAATCCCTCCTCCGCTGCGCGACAAGCGTTCGAGTGACGATGACGCGCCCTTCGTTATCGTCGAGCGCTCGCGTCGCCGCTCGTGTGCCCAAGGCGGGGCTGTCCCGTGCACGTCCCGCTGCCGTCTGGCTGGGCTCAACTCCGGCCGCTCTGTGCGCGCCGTTCACGCCTCTGGATCTGTCTGACGCTACTGGAAGCGCGCCGCTCACTGACGAGGAGGGCCTACACCACGCCGCTCATTGCCACTCGACGAAACGTTCGGGCAAACAAGGTCACGTGTGCGGCATCGGGGCGCACTTGGCCCTTTTGCTGCTGCTGTGCTGCACGCGTGTGTCATTGCTTGGTGTGCTTGTGTCTACACGCGACGAGACACATCCGATGGATGCTTCCCGTTACGCTTGTTGCTAATGCGACGACCAGTCACGGTATCGTGGAAAGGGGTTGGCAGATTATCAACCTAACATCGGCTCACGGTGTGACAATTCGACATTCCGCGAAGGAAGTTCTGTTGCGTATGACGTGCACGCGCAAGCATGTCGCGGCGGTATATCGTGCTTTCGCGTATCCTTATCCGAGGGATGCCTCGGCGTGGACAATGCAGAAGCGACATGCCGCATGTAGCGATTTGTTCTTGTAGACAGAGTTGCGCAGGTCGACTTAGTACCTCCCCGTACATTCAGTGATGCTGTGCCTGTATTTGCACAAGGCCATCGAAAGAAGGGAGCGAGGTAACGTGTTGACATTGATGTATTGTTCGCAGCATTGTGGCCGCACCTCTACGCTCGGCGTTTTCGGTTTTTTTGTTTGTTTTTCATGTGTTGATCGGAGATGCCCGAAAAAACATCTGCTAGTACATTCCGCTGAGCGCTTCGCGTGCCATTCCGAATTGATGCCAAAACCAACGTTACGCTGCGGAGGACGAGGCCCTGCAGTGGACTAGCAATCACAGTTTCAATGCTACGGAAGCAATTAGCTCCTCACTATAGCAAGGTAACTGATAATCACAGCTTACAATAAGGCAAGTGAAGCACCATTGGAAAGCCATGGCAGCTCAATGAACATGTTCCCGGATGACAGATTGTGGTGACGATGAGTGAACTTTATTTTGGTCCAGAGAAGAAGCAGGGGACATCCCATGCCACCCTGGTAGTCCCACGTAGAGACCGCCGAAACCGAGCTAGACTTAAGTTCAATTCTCGGTCGCGTAGGTTGCCTTCGCATGGGAGAGTGAAGTAAATTCGCTATAGTTCGCTTATATTCAAATGCCTGTTAAACAATCGCGAGCGGCAGAAAATAATCTCGTGATTATTCGCGAATGGAAAGATCCTGGGACCCTATAACCTACACGTCCTTGCACGGATCTGGCCATGAAAACCCCATATACTGCCTCCTGAATGTTAACCAAACCTTTGTGAACCGCTAGCTCATCGTCGTGCTCTTCGTGTTCACACTAACTGTCACTTTGTAATTATTTCTACTCTTCTTTCTCGTCATTTTGTCCGTTGTTCTTCATTTCCCTTTTGCTATAGCGTAAGGTAGTGAACACCTTACATTATGAATGCTTGTCTAACGGAAGGAAGAAGTCGTACCAGTAGTCGAAGACACTCGTACGTACGTGTAACAGACTACGTTCCTTTTTTATTTTCACTGTCCGCCAAAGTGGGTCAGTGGCAGCCGACCCAATTGAAGGTCGCAGGTTCGACCCCAGCCGCGGAAGTCGCATTTCGACGGAGGCGTACGGTGTGATGTCAGAGCACCTTAAAAAAAATACTAGATGGCCAATATTTCCGGAGCCCTCCACTACGGCATTGCCCCATAATCATATCGTGGTTTTGGGACGTCATGACTTTCGCTTTCACCACCCGTCCTGGCGCTATGTCCTACTCGCCACTTCTTTCTTTGTTGAACACGAAAACAATGTCGGCACTAAACGTTGAGCATATCAAAGATTTCGCGATTTTCGGCTACGCGCCGTTATGTCTGCTTGCGCGCTTAGAAACGCTGAACGCAAAGTGAAAGCAGCTGATCTCGCACAATAGTCATGCGAAACGAGGCGGCACGGGCATGCGATTTTTGATGATTGATTGATATGTGGGGTTTAACGTCCCAAAACCACTATATGATTATGAGAGACGCCGTAGTGGAGGGCTCCGGAAATTTCGACCACCTGGGGTTCTTTAACGTGCACCCAAATCTGAGCACACGGGCCTACAACATTTCCGCCTCCATCGGGAATGCAGCCGCCGCAGCCGGGATTCGAACCCGCGACCTGCGGGTCAGCAGCCGAGTGCCTTAGCCACTAGACCACCGCGGCGGGGCTGGAATTTTTCGGCAAAGCAGGTATATAGAAAATAATTCACAGCTGATATCTTTCGATATATGAACCAATCGATAGTTCATTTCCTCATGACTTCACGTGAACGTATACTGCCATGACTTAGAGTTGTGCCGGAAATACGGGAAAGGCCACGAAGGGATAACGCGCCCTTCTTTTGGATTTTCCTGGGTTGTTCGGGAGTCCTTTAGACTCTGTAGAGTCAATTAGTCAAAGTGTCGCTACCCCAAATGCGCCCAGCCTGAAAGCTATACTGACATTAGATATGCGAAGCATACAACACAGCGGCACCGGCATGCTAAGCAACTGCGTGTAGTATTCACGCAGGATGTCTGGCGAAGTTAGAGTCAATCCCTGCAATCACGCACTACACCCCGCAACCTTGAAGGAAGGGTGAATTCTTCGTGCGGGCGCACGTTTCATTCGGGGACATCCGACTACGCCTGAAAGCGGTGACGTGGGGATGCCCAAAAAGGCGCGACGAATGCATATCAAAGTCACCTAATCATTGCAGCAACGTCCTAGCAATGGTGCCAACAGAAGGGGCAAAAAAAAAAGAAAAACGAAGCGCCGTGAAGTTTCCGCATTTATTTTCAATGGACAGTGATGACAGGTGAAGTGTTTGCATTTATCCTGACGCCGCCGGTAAAACATTCAAACAGGCCAGGTCGTCGAGTGTCTTTCATTCAGCCTCGCACGTTCTCCTTCGACGGCAATCTTTTACGGGCGTTTTCGTTGGGCAGTTGTTACGGCGAGCCTCGGGCTAACGCTGGCCTTGAACTGACGAGACAGTATAGTCAAGCGAAAAAGATCACGGGGCGTTTTCGGGCAGCGAAAGCCTTACAAAGCAGACTGAAAGCTTGACTGCGAACATATGATAATATCTGAGGTTTCACGTCCCGAAACCGCGATAAGATTATGAGAGACACCGTAGCTAGTGAAGGGCTCAGGGAATTAAAACAATCTGAAGTTCTTTAGCGTGCAGTGACGATCGCACAGTACACGAGCCTCTAGCATTTTCCCTATATCTAAATGAGACCAACGCAGCGGGATCGAACTCAGCGACCTTAACATCACACGGCCGAGCACTTGTAATTACTGGTCCACTGAGGCGTTGTGGTGGTGACGTTGCAGTAGGCGGGGTTTCGGCAGTCGTTCCGCCTTGGCATCTCCTGAATTGTAAGGGTCTGTGGGAAAGCGACATCGTCAAATGTCCATGGTGTATACGACAACCTCTTTGCAAGTTGAGGGCCACGCATCACTGGTCGTTCACTGTCAAAGTGCAGGCAGGGCCTTATCAAAATGTCGAATGTGGCCGATATCAGAGCGTAAGGCAGGGCTCTCAAACTCGCCTTAACTAACGGGTCACATTCCTGAAACTCACTCCAACGAGGGCCGGGACAGTGTACTAAGTCGGAGGAACGCGGGGAAGGTGCGGGCGGGTAGGGTGGAGGACTTGAAGAAAATGGCACCAAACGATGGCATTTGAAACAATGCTATTCTCGTTTCTCACATTTAGGTCATATCCGCAAGTGACTTGACGGCAGTTTTGAGAAATATGTCGACACCTATCTACATGACGACAAGAATTCTAAAATATAAATTTTGTTCCGCGGTGATGTTTCTGACTCGGGCAAATGTGCTTCAGACCAGCTTCGCCTCTGTAGCTGCTCCCAACAAAACGTTATAAATCGCGATAGGCGAGAAAATAATGTGAATGCGATTTAACGATGTCACGATAGTTCATTCCTTGTGAAGCCGCGGCCCACAGACACGTGTTTGAGACCAGTAGCCCACATTCGAGCGCCTAGTCCACTTCAGGGGAAAGGGGGGCAAAGGTTGGTCACAGCATCCCTCCTCTCCATATGTCAATGCACGGGGCTGACTTTGCCCCCCCCCCCTCCACAAGTCGCAGCACACCCTCCCTATTACGTCAATGTATGGCGCTCGCTTTGCGACACTCCCCTTCTAAGGTGACTAGGGGGGGTGGCCCCTCCCCCCTGTACCCCCGTCCGAACTACGCCCTAGCCATAAGGGTCCTTCAGAAGCCTTCCTGTTACCTTCTTGATTTCACGTGCCCTGCACACCACAGCGCACAGGAACTGTTCCTCGCTCGCGCAGGGCCACGCAGGCGTTTCCCAACACCGGGTTGTGACATGCAAGGTCGTCTGATATGCATTCGCTCTTTGCGCAACCACGTGCGCCTATGTGTGGTAGTGCGAGGGAAGGCTGTGTAACGCGGTGCAAGTGACGTCTGCGGCACATTCGCATCTCGCGCCCTTCGCCGAAAGCGCCGTTTTCTCGCTCGCTCTTTTTTTTTACGCGCATTATATCTTCTTGTTTTCACTCCGGCGCGTGCCGGTGCAGGCTAGTATAGAGGCTGTAATATGAGGCGGATGATGGCGGGCCCATTGCCAGGTGTGGGGAGCAAAAAAAAAAAAAAATGATCGCCGAGCCGCAATAACGCCCCCGTTTTAGACGCGCGCAGGAACACGATTCATCACCTGCGTGTCGTCGATACCGAAGCGGAGAGTGAGGGGAAGAAAGAGTTCAACCCGTGCCAGAGATACAGAGCTGGCGGACGAATAGACGTAGAATTGGGCCATACATGCGCGACGAAGCAAATGCACTAAAAAGCTCGCAGCCCGCCCTCCCCCACCATCGTTCTTCTTCACAGGGCCTAACACGTGCAATGCGTGGTAACTTTAGACACACGTCGGAAATTGAAGTTATTCATGGCTAAAATGAACCGAAGGTGATTGCTTGATTGATTTGTGGGGTTTAACGTCCCAAAACCACGATATGTTTATGAAAGACGCCGTAGTGGAGGGCTCCGGAAATTTCGACCACCTGGGGCTCTTTAAACGTGCACCCGAATCTGAGCACACGGGCCTACCAACATTTCTGCCTCCATCGTAAATGCAGCCACCGCAGCCGGGATTCGATCCCGCGACCTGCGGGAACCGAAGGTGAGCTCCCAAGTTTCTGGTATGGAAAGCTAGCTTATCTCTCTTTCCAGTCTGCTGCACTCTCACCGATAGGGA